ATATATATATATATATATATATATATATATATATATATATATATATATATATATATATATATATATATATATATAAGTNTGATATATATATATATATATCTCACTGGCCACTTTGTAAGGTACACCTGTCCAACTGCTCATTAACGCAAATTTCTAATCAGCCAATCACATGGCAGCAACTCAATGCCTTTAGGCATATAGACATGGTCAAGACAATCTGCTGCAGTTCAAACCGAGCATCAGAATGGGGAAGAAAGGTGATTGAAGTGACTTTGAACGTGCCGGACGAGCTGGACTGAGTATTTCAGAAACTGCTGATCTACTGGGATTTTCACGCACAGCCATCTCTAGGGTTTACAGAGAATGGGCTGAACAAGAGAAAATATCCAGTGAGCGGCAGTTCTGTGGGCACAAATGCCTTGTTGATGAGGTCAGAGGAGAATGGCCAGACTGGTTCCAGCTGATAGAAAGGCAACAGTAACTCAAATAAGCACTCGTTACAACCGAGGTCTGCAGAAGAGCATCTCTGAACACACAACACGGCCAACCTTGAGGCGGATGGGCTACAGCAGCAGAAGAGCACACCGGGTGCCGCTCCTGTCAGCTAAGAACAGGAAACTGAGGCTACAATTCACACAGACTCACCAAAACTGGACAATAGAAGATTGGAGAAGCGTTGCCTGCTCTGATGAGTCGATTTCTGCTGCCACATTTGGAAGATCGGGTCAGAATTTAGCATTAACAACATGAAAGCATGGATCCATCCTGCCTTGTATCAACAGGTCAGGCTTGTGGTTGTGGTGTAATGGTGTGGGGGATGTTTTCTTGGCACACTTTGGGTCCATTAGTACCAATTGAGCATGGTGTCAACACCACAGCCTACCCGAGTATTGTTGCTGACCATGTCCATCCCTTTATGACCACCCATTTTCTGATGGCTGCTTCCAGTAGGATACTGCACCATGTCAAAAACTTGAATCATCTCAGACTGGTTTCTTGAACATGACAATGAGTTCACTGTACTCAAATGGCCTCCACAGTCACCTGTTCTCAATCCAATAGAGCACCTTTGAGATGTGGTGGAATGGGAGATATGCATCATGAATGTGCAGCCAACAAATCCACAACAACTGTGTGATGCTATCATGTTAATAAGAACCAAAACCTCTGAGGAATATTTCCAGTACCTTTATGAATCTATGCCATGAAGGATTAAGGCCGCTCTGAAGGCAAAAGGGGGTCCAAACCGGTACTAGTAAGGTGTACCTAATAAATTGGCCAGTGAGTGTAGATATATTAGGCTTAACAGAATAACAGTCACAATGTTTTTAGTTGAAATAAAAGCTTTACTCCTGCTGTGGCTGAAATTGACAGCCTGATGGATGATGCAGTACTTTCACTTTCATTTTCTTTAAATAAATAAATTCAAATAAAATTATCATATGAATAACTAAACAGTTGTCAGTGGATGAACTGTTAACTTTAATGACAAAGTGAAAGTGAAGAGGATAGTTGTGTCAAATGTATATAATATTAATCCCTCATAACATCCACAATAGCTTTATTTTTGAACATGACAGCAGTTATATTTAGTGGAGGACATGAATATTTTGCCTAGAAAACTAGTGAGGCAAAATAAACTTGAAATGGTTCAGGAATAAAACTCAATGACAATAATGAAGTACTTTCAGTTAGTTTAGTGTAAGTCATAACACTCTAATTAATTTCTGAGATGCCATAAGAGTAAATTAATACATGTAAAATTAATAAAAGTTCATACTTACACGGTGCTTCCAGCTGATGCCATACTAGGAGACTGCAGATACTAAAAACGGTCGTGCTGATGTTGTAGAAAAAAATAAAGTACAAATCTGTTGATGAGATCTAAAGTTTTAGCCAGTTAATACTACATACATATCGTCAGTAGGTAACATGCATGCTGAACATACAGAACAGCAAGGTTAATAACATATATTGATTAAAATACACTTAATTCTACATATTTGTAAGCTGAATTATGCTAACAATAAAAAGAAAAGCATAATACCTATGAAAAGCAAGAAAGCTCCTTAGACTGACACAGGAGTTCACATGTACACAATCTCCGCCCACTGTCGGAAGTCGCGGGAAGGTTTGTTTCCTTAGAATTCTGGGAAATGTATTTTATGAAAGCGAACTGACTGCGCAATTGATTGCGCAAAAAACTACACTTCCCAGCGTCACTTGCACATTTTGTGAGTTCAACGTGAAGACGGTTGGTCATTGCTGTTTTCTGTAAGTGATTTACAAATAATTACTTTACATGCACGGATTTACTACTTTACACGGGAGGATCGTTTTAATTTACGTCGTTTGGAACTATTTATGATTTAATGTTAACGTTGCATCGATATAAAGTAGGGCTGTGTCGTTTGATATCATGCTCTATCGTCATAAAATAACATTACATTGTTTATGGTCATTTCCCAGAGATGGGTTGCGGCTGGAAGGGAATCCGCTGCGTAAAAACGTGCTGGATAAGTTGGCGGTTCATGCCGCTGTGGCGACCCCGGGTTAATAAAGAGACATAGCCGAAAAGAAAATGAATGAATGTTTATGGTCATATTTTTTATATGAGTGCAGTATTACTCATCATTATAGGGTTGCAGACAGAAACACCGTGGGAAAGATGCATACTGAAAGATCAGTGTTTAGATTTAGCATTTTATTTAGCTATATTTTGTATATTATTATTATGTTTGACCTGTAATAGTGAGAAGTTGTTTTATTTTTTATTATATTTATTTAATATTTCTACGTTTTTAGTTAAACACAAGTTCTTTAAAAAACTGAATGAGAAATTCATTCATTTATTTTCCTTCGACTTAGTCCCTTTATTCATCAGGGGTTGCCACAGCGGAATGAACCGCCAACTTATCCAGCAAATGTTTTACACAGTGATTAAAATGTTTTTTAAACAAAAATAAAAGTAGGAATAATAAAAACATGTTAATACAACAAAAATCTAAATTGTATTTCTTTCCTTCTTTTTTTATTTTATTATGTATATATATATATATATATATATATATATATATATATATATATATATATATATATAAATATAAATATATATATATATATATATATGTATATATGTATATATTTATATTTTTTTTTATA